GGAGAGAAACCTTATGAAATTCAACAAGGGCAAGTGTAGGGTACTGCTCCTGGGGAGGAATAACCCCATGCATCAGTACAGGTTGGGGGCTGACCTGCTGGAGAGCAGCTCTGTGGAAAGGGAACTGGGAGTCCTGGTGGACAATAGGATGACCATGAGCCAGCAATGTGCCCTGGTGGCCAAGAAGGCCAACGGCATCCTGGGGTGCATCAAGAAGAGTGTGGCCAGTAGGTCGAGGGAGGTCATCCTCCCCCTCTACTCTGCCCTGGTGAGACCACATCTGGAGTACTGTGTCCAGTTCTGGGCTCCCCAGTTCAAGAAGGACAGGAATCTGCTGTAGAGGGTCCAGCAAAGGGCTACAAAGATGATTAGGGGATTGGAACATCTCTCATATGAGGAAAGGCTGAGGGACTTGGGTCTCTTTAGTCTAGAGAAAGGAAGATTGAGGGACAATCTTATTAATGCTTACAAATACTTAACGGGAGGGTGCCAGTGGGATGGGAACAGTCTTTTTTCAGTGGTGCCCAGTGATAGGATAAGAGGTAACAGGCACAAACTCAAACATAGGAAGTTCCATCTTAACATGAGGAAGAACTTCGTTACTTTGAAGGTAGTGGAGCACTGGCACAGGCTGCCCACAGAGGTTGTGGAGTCTCCCCCTCTGGAGTCATTCAAAACCCACCTGGACGCCGTCCTGTGCAACCTGCTGTAGGTGACCCTGCTCTGGTGGGGGGGTTGTATGAGATGATCTCCAGAGGTTCCTTCCAACCCTGACCATTCTGTGATTCTGTAGCACATGAGTACTGTCTATAAACTTAGAATGTTAATGTTCATGGGAGTTATTTTATTAATAATTAAGTTTTCTCTGAGTCAGTAGGCATCAGACAGACCCTGGGTTTGTAGAACAACCCATTATTGCTAGCGCACACAGGAAGAATGTAAAATCTTGATATTACAAATGGGAAATTGCATATTAAAGAAAGAATGTACTGTTCTGCATTGCGCAGAATCCAGTCTGGAATGTCCCTGTTATATTGGGATTGAAAGTAGCAAACCACCCTTCTACAAACTTTTCAAGCTACTAATCCATGATGATAGCAGTTTGTAAACCTACTCTGTGTTAGCCTTGGTGGCCAAGAAACATCATAACCACAAGCTCATGATTGTTAGTTCACAAATCATAGTCTTCTGTCTGCCATCCATCCAGCTGGGAAACAGAGGTGCTAAAAATGATTCGGGTGTGCAGGAATACAAAGACCTCTTTGAGGAATCTAAAGAACTTGACTGGGAGATCCACATGGTGTTGCCAAGATATTTCACAGAAAGTGAGGAGAGTCAGCAGCTAATGCAGTTTCAGCGTAGACCAATTTAGTATCAGTGATTAGTTTCTCTAAATCTTAAATGCTAGAGAAGAACTAGCAGGGTACTGTAGGAAGAAGCAAGCTCTGGTAATCCTGAGTTCACCTCCGCAAAGGAAACAAAATGCACACCATTGCTGTGGGAGAAATGGAAGGATTCTAGAAAGTGATAATCAAACTGTTTCTGAGAAAAACAAGAATTTTCTGTTTGTTTTTTGTTTTTCCTGGCATTGACTTGTGGGACAATAAACTACCATGTTTTAGGTGTCTGTGTATCTTGCAAAACTTACTAGCTGCAGACCCATGCAGTACACTCATTTAACTTGTATAATTCTTATTGTTGGCTGGAGGAGGTCAAATCCTTGAAGAGGAGATTGGGGATGGGTGGCAGACTGCATCAAAATCACTGGTATGATATTTTGAAAATAAGTTGCATTTTTCTGTCCTCTATGCTAAGAAGAAAGAATATTTTAGGTAACTCCCATGAAAATGCTGAAGAACTTGAAAGAACCAGTGAGATGAAGGAAAAAGAAGCTGCATTGTAAGTTTGGTGTCAATAAAGCAGTTAGACCTCATTTCTGGAGAACGCCACTGCTTTGGGCTGCAGTTTTACACTCTGCTTTTGCTCATTCATTGCTCTGCTAAACACAATGCTTGGCTTTAATGAGGGCTAACCTAAAGAAAAAAGCTCTACGCTGTTCTCTGTGCACATATTCCCTAATATTTCTGTTTCTGTGCCTGTTGCTGTTTCTTAATTGAAAATGTACTGCTTTGGTAATTTAATAATTCTTTATTATCACACAGTGTCTTATTTTAATGCTTTGCGCTGAATATGTATGTTGCAAAAAGAAGTAGCCAATGGCTTCCTCAATGTGTTTACTCGGATTGACATTTTCATCTAGTTGCTTAATGATTTTTTTGTTTTAAAAATCTCCTTTTTCATATGACAGCCTCACATTCACTACAAATTACAAGCTATGAAAGAAAGTACTAATAAGAAAATGATGATTTCTTGATGGTATAAGAAAAAGTGGCAGGAGCATAAACAGCATAAGGAATCAAGGAATCCTTTGAAAAACACAATTTTTTTATAAAAAATAAAGGCCAACAAAGAAGAAAATATATTTATGAACATACATGCCAGGAAATTAACTCAGTTAAGTCTTAATTTTTCAGCTTGCCATAGTACATGTTTGGAGGCCAATGGTGTGATATATGAGTTTTTACGTGAGTAGTAGCAGTTCTAGGCTGTTTATATCGTGGTACAGAGTTGTGTAGTTTTCTTTCAGGCTTTATAATAGAAAATCATTTTATAAACTAGAGTAGCTGCCAAAGTTAGGTTGAAGATTGTTTTTTGTGAAGATTATCTTTAAAGATGAGTAGGGATTTTTCTGTTAAAAATAGGGTGAATGTGGGGAATTATTAGTTAAAATAAAAGTGATTTGGGGTGCTGCTAGAAATACAGAATTAGCTGCCAGTTTTCAGTGCCACTCCTAGTTGCAGTGAGAGATATCTGTTAAATATTGTGAACTCACATTTACACAAGTGAATTGTCCACAGGTGTCTAGAGTTCCTTCTGCAGAACGATGCCAATCCATCCATCCAAGACAAAGAGGGGTACAATACTGTGCATTATGCTGCTGCATATGGGCACCGGCAGTGTTTGGAACTGGTGAGTGCTCAGTCAGTTTTGGAAGTCTCATATCTGCCGATACATATGTGCATATGCGAGTAGTATGAACTCCCCTGAGGGTTACTATTTGAGTCCTTTGGATATTCACAAATCTGTGAAAACCTGCAATATCATAGAATGGCTTAGGTTGGAAGGGACCTTGAAGACCATTGAGTTCCAACCCCCTGTCATGGGCAGGGACACCTCCCACTAGACCAGGTTGCCCAAAGCCACATCCAGCCTGGCCTTGAACACCTCCAGGGATGGGGCCTCAACAACCTCTCTGGGCAACCTGTTCCAGTGCCTCACCACTCTCAAAGTGAAAAATTTCTTCTTAATGTTTAATCTAAACCTGCCCTCTTCCAGTTTATAGCCATTCCCCCTCGTCCTATCACTGCATGCCCTAGTAAGAAGTCCTTCCCCAGCTCTCCTGTAGGCCCCTTTTTAGGTACTGGAAGGCCGTGATACAGTGCAGTAAACTCAAATATATGCAACCAGGTGTATCTTAAAAACATGTTCATCTTGATAATCCATTCCTTGTTCAACAAGCTGGTGCTTAATTGTTGTCTTTGAGTGGAGTTTATGTACGCTCAAATTATTTTCAACTGTGATCAAAATATTCGCAGTGTATGTGTATGTGCCAGTAGTAAGGGATGGTTCCCCGTGCATGACGGTGTATGTGCCTTATTTAGCTGGCACATTATCTGACTTGCAAACTGAGACACTAAATAGCTTTTGTCAGCTGCATACCTGCAGTGCCTTTTTGCCTCTGGTGAAACAACAGCAGCATTGATAAAGTTACTATAATCAAGATTAACCTTGTATGCAACATAACTGTGGTGGTGGTGGTGGTGTTATTGTTTTTTAATATCGTGGACCTGAGTGATTCGAAATTGCATCTCATAAGAAGCCAAAAATTTTTAGCCAAAAATTGGATTTGGGAGGTATATAGTATGGATTTATAGAAGTTTGACTTGTAAAAATAGGTGTAATGAAGATGGGCATTAACTGAACTGCTTGACATACAAGGTGATCCAAAATTATTTTGTCACATATAAATAGGCTTTAATTGCTTTAAAAAAAATAAGATCTCATTAGAAAATTGTTCAGATATTCATGCTTTAGTAAGAACACTGTGCGCTGTTTTGTGTTTTATGTTGTTTGGTTCGTTCTTTCTTTGTTGAAGAGTCAAAGTACTTAATTATTGAAAAGGAGCTCTCCACAGCACATGCAGCGTTCACACTGCATTTACCAGCACTGTCAGTCACTGCCGCCACAGGAGAAATACTGCAGCAGACCTACGTCAGGGTCACGACAGCTAGGAAACCGAGACCTGTGATTATACCCGGGCAGCCCTGGGTCAGAATTTCAGGTGGGATGTTAAGCCTTTTTAGCTCCCACCTGCAACCATGTATATTTAGGACACTTAAAATATCACTGCTCCTTTGTTGCTTGTGGCAGTGACTTTGACCTTTCCTTGTTTAGAGCCTTTTCCTGGAGCTCATTTCATGACTTTGCCTGTGGGGTGGAGGAATCTTCTGCTGAGCCTGCCACCCATTTGGAACAAAAGCAAATGTTCTTGGTATTTGAGGGGTGTATATAGAGAGTAGCTGCCTCTGTGCTGTGTACAAGCCCATGCTTGTACGGCCACAGCAATGTGTATTGCAACCTTACCCGTGTCTTGTCACCAGATTCTTGCATGACTTGCACAAGCAGAGACCTCTATAAAAGCATCTTCACTGGGGAATTCTCTTTCAGCCTTCTTTCATAGTCCCTGTGTGCTGTGAAGCGTGGAGCAGGCATGGAGCAAGGTCTCTTCTCTTTTCTTTTACTTGTTGCTGTGCATGGTGTTCTGGCAACGTATCGGTTGCAGACAATGACCTGCTATCGAGTCCTAGTGTTGCTTAGGTTTGCCAGACAAAAGGAAGAGCTGGGAATGCAGCACATATCAGAGGTGTTGGGTTTTCTTTTAGTTTTGGAGGGTGAAACGCAAACCATGGGCTAGAGACAGCTGTGCAGCAAGTGTTCTATATTTGGACAGAGAAATTCAATGTTTTTCCATGTCAATCTTCCCATATTTGTGACTATAGCTGCAGTATAGAAACCCAAGGTCAAGCATCATTTGCAAAGTTATAGTCATATAGCTGTTCTGTGTACACCGGTGAAAGAAGAAAAAAACCTACAAATTTTGGCTTATTGCATACCAAGGACCGCTATTGCATGCTAGGCTGTCTGCCTGAAAGTTTCGTAGGGACTGGGATTTTGCCACTGGTGTTCAGGGGCTGACAGGCATGTCATCTCCTCTCTGCAATACAAAAGCTAAATGTACCAGAAAGCACGTGTGCTCCATCAACAGTAGGACCAGGACCTGTCATCTTCGCACCCACTGTCAGAAGAAGGTGATTCTGTTTTGTTCATGCGAGCACTTGTCCCTTAGCAGTAACGAATTACTGAGGCTTGAGTGTAATAACTTGATATTTCATAAGAGTGACTAATTGATACAGACACTGCCTTTACACTGATTTTTTTTTTGGCATTGCTTGGATTCAGGATGGCATAAGGGCTGAGACCAAAGTCTCAAGTAGCTGAAAGGTAATTGTGCCATGGGCATGAAATTGGAATCATCCTTGTGTCTAGGTTTATTCACTTATGCCAACATGAGAGTCCCAGGTGTTACGACAATCGTTGATTCTTGTGCTTCGTCTGATAAAGTAGTGTCATCTGTGGACATCACTATCCTGAAATGCAATCACATTGTCTTTGACAGAGTTCTGGTTATTCATGGTTATTTGAAGGCTGTGTGTAAAAGCTGCAATAAGTATTAATCCAGCGCAGATGGAGAGGAGCCTCGCTGCGTTGTGAGGCTGACTGGTGGCTCGGTCACAGTTTGTTGTATTCTCTGTAACACACATATGACAAGGACTTTGTCATGAACCATGATCTTTATTTCTGGTAGCTGTTAACCACAGTACATTGACTGCTGTAGTTACTCATAGTGGAATGAAGCATCCAGTAATGTTTAATTGCGTCTAGGCATAATTGCTTCCACTTTTGTCTGAATGCCCCTTCTTTTCAACATAGCAGAAAGAAGAGTAAGTCATCAAATGCCATCTTAGTCCTCAAGCCTTCTGTTTACCAGTTTTGAAAGCTAAACCAATGGAGATCCAGAAAATTGGCGACACTCCCTGCCTTGTTTCTCTCTCCTGAGCTGCTCCGGGCTCTCCTTGGTAATGGTGCAGGAAGCTTTGGATCGAGTTGATGCTGCAGGTTGACTTGGTGGGTTAGTGTGTAGAGTAGGTGCCTGAGGACAGCAGGTTATGTCTGAGGAGTACTTGGCTGGTTTTATTGCTGCATCTTGGAAGTACATTTTTCTTGCTGTTCTTCTTATCTTCAGTGCTAATGAAAAGTAAAATAAGGTTCACAGTATTTTTAGTTGCTCTTACTCAAGGAAGAGTGGGAGCCCAGCAGCCCTAATTCCAATATAAATATGTCTGTAGATAGGCAGGGAGACTTTTTTGTTTTGGCTTCGTGCATGCAATAACAGAGATAAACGGATGTCTGTCTTAAAAGTGCTAATTTTGAACCACTAATCTGTATCACAGGAACTCTGACATATAGAATACTCCTAAAATATTTTCAATCCCTTCCATCCTGAAGTAGAGATTTCCAGGCAGGATTATTGAAATAAAAAAAATATTTTTCAGTGCCAAACTAATGATGCTTTTACTATTTTATCCCTTGGGCAAATATTTTCACTTTATTATTGACAACTCACAGATGAAAATATAGAATCATAGAATCATTGAATTTCTGAGGTTGGAATTATCTTCTCTAGAACAAGACAGTTCTTTATGGACATAAAGCTGTTAGAAGAAAGAGTTCATTTGAAATAAAAAGCTTTAATTCTGATCGAAACTAAGGCAAAGCGGGTACAACAATGAGCTTGAGTTTGAGTACAGTTTAGGAAAGGCTGGTTTATCTATGAAAAAATATTTTTTTTTTTGTGTTTTTTTTTTTGTTTTTTTTTGTTGTTGTTGTGTGTTTACTGTAAGCCCAAATTTAGCTAAATTTCTTTGCGGGGAGAAGAGACCTATTAGGAGCAATAAGAATTAAAAGTGAAAAGGTCATATCCTTTGACCCAAACAAATAAAGTTTGTGTTTGTGTGTTCAACCACAGAGCTCAATGACAGAAGCTTTTTTCCTGGAGTACCTTTTGGTTGTCTGGGATATTGGTGGGGTAGTTGCCCTGCAGTGAATGACGTGATGTTGCTAAAAAGAGAAGAGTGGAAGCAGATTCTTGAATTCTTTCTCCATCTGTAAGGAGCCATTCATAAAGGCTGAATGGTGGGCATGTGTGCTCGCAAGCAACTAAAACTCCCATCTGCTTTCCTACTTCTAAAAATAACCTTATGTTTGTTTAGACTGGGGTTGACTTCTTTGGTGTTTGGAAGTCAGAGATATCAATCATGATCACTAGCTGATATTTTAGAGCTGATCACATCCCCAAACTACTTTGCAAAAAAGAAAAATATTGTGGATTTTTTTTTTTTTTCATTGAAATGATCTCTTAACACAAAATCCTTATTGGTGTGAAAAGAGTGAAATTTAAATTGTAATTTCACATTAAAATTCTGTCTCGAGCACCAGTCAAAGACTTTGTGCTGGTAAAAACAGGTTGCTTGTGCAGTGTTAGAGCAAACAGAATTAAATGGCTGTCTCTTGTAGTGAAATCTCTTCTCTGACTGTAAGAACTGATGGTTATTTTTTCTTTTAATTTGCTCTTCTCTTTATTCCGTTAGCAAATGAAATTCACTCTTTGGCTAATAGAAATTGAATCGGCACAGGTCCTAATTCATTTGAGGATGGGAGGAGAACATGGTTTAACCGAAAGCCATGGCCAAAAGAAAAGGCAAATCTCAGCCTGCCTGTCTGCCCACCCGGGCAGGGGGATCTGCACAGCTGAGTGTGTCAGACAGAAGGGGCAGAGGCAGATTTCTTGC